TGACTTGTAGTGAAAAGGTATACTTTATGGCCAAACTAGCCATTTCACTTACGGACTTTCCATAATGGACAGGCTTACTCACTACTTTATTTCAATATACTCCTGCTGAAGTCAGTGGTGTGTATGGTAAATTGCCTTTTGAATGCCAGTTTTGAAGGTGGCTTTACTTTTTTAGGTGATTCATTTGCCTGGTTTAATTTTTTTCTTATAATATTACAGTGATGACAACCACCAGTGTCAAATGTTAGAACTACAAATATATTGGTGAAAGCTCTCATACTGTCTTTTATTGCTTCTTTCTGTTCTGAAGAACAAATGGAAGTGCTGAGACTAGTTGGAACATGTCTTAAACAAGGCCAAACACAAATATTTTCCCCAGCTTACATGAATTTTGGTGGTTCGAAATCCAATACACTGAATAATATCCAACTCCCTTTTAATGCTAGAAAACTGTCCATTGGGTTATGGGAAAATCTTTTATTCCAGTCCCACCAAACGTGTGTATTGACAATGATGGCTGTTGAGTCGTCCAGTTGTATTCATGAAAGTCTGTTCCATTCAAATTGGCATGGGTTTAATTTGATGTAATTCTGTGTAGGATCAGGCTGTTTGTTGCAGTATTGCTGCTGCTGCTTTAAGTAGAGTTGGTATGTGAGGTTCTTTGTTTGGATACAACATGATATGTGCTAGGATCTCATTTCCATTTCCCTCCCCACCCCATCTCTTTGCCCTTCAAATAAATAAATATTTTGTCTGTGTTTGTCCCATACGTTACAAAAGGGATATGACTTAAATGTATACATGTGTGTATAAAATATATCATTTGGAGGTATGCACGATTATAGTTCATAAGCAACTAAGGTGCCTCAAGTTCAGGAACATCCCCCTTGCACTCTCTAGGCTTGAAATTTCAAAGGCCATTGAAATTAGTAGAAACATTCCCAGTGACTTGAATGATCCTTTGAATCGAGCCTCTTCTCCCAGCTTTGTTGTGCCTCACTGAAAATGGTGCTTTTTTTGGTCATCCGTCTCTTCAATTTTGATTTTTAAGGGTGCTGTATATAACATGAATATATTATGCACATATCCTACCCAATGGGTAGAAAAACAAAACGAAACGAAACCCATTGTTAATATTGTAACATAATGTATAGAAGATAACTGTTTAAACACAAAAAGGCATAGAACTTGTGAATGCCTACTTATGTGCTTCGTCCTTTTTTGTAAGAATTTGCAAAAGAATGCATACAAAGGACGGGAAGTCCCATGTATTTTTATTTTCCTATGAAATATCAAAGTACTATAAGGGAAAAAAAGTTTGAACAAACCACTTTTGATTATTAGCCTGTTGATGATAATTGGTTGCTTGATGCATCTGCTGTAAGGAGTCACTTGTGAGTGGTGTTTGCGTGTGTCACTTTAAATGCACAAATACTTAACGTTGTAGCTAGCTTCTGATTTTTCCTTGTTGCTTCCTTGTTATGAGATTAGACCAGCCTTGGCTTCTTTTTGTTATTTATGACATGATCAACCTAGAGATGGGCTGAATCCTAAGAACACTTATATTTGAAAAGCCAACATTTTAAAATAAGATTTGGTTAAAGTAGGAATCAAACCACCCTTCAAAATGTAAGATGGACAAGCATTTTTGTTTCACAGAAGCAGGATTTTTTTTTTTTGCCCATTTTAAATTTGGTGTGTGGACCAGGCAGTAATCTTAAGGGGGACGAATTGGTGGGAATGTGCTGGTCACTGTGATACAAGGCTTGATATCCAGTCCTTATAACCCAAGTGATATAAGGAATAACACATACTGCTGCTACCCTCCCACAAAAATAACAGAATTTTGCAGCTTCCCCACTCCACAAACTTTCATGCACTTTTCATTTTAGTGAACACAAGCACTGCCATCTTGATTTGTCTTCCCAACTTGTCCATTCAGAGTGTGTGTGTGTGTGTGTGTGTGTGTGATGAGTGAGACAAGATTTTAAAAGGTTCTGGTTGCCCATTGCAGGTTGAACTTGGGAATGCTTGACGTTATGGTGACTTTTGAAGGATGCAAGCTACTTTTCTTGCAAGACCTCTTTTTCTGGCCAATGGATTTTTTTGTTTCTTTTCTTATGAAAGAGTCTATTGCATTTTTTTTTTTTTTTGCTTTTGCGACTTTGTTTTTAATTTGGATAATGAGACAGGACTTAGACCCTTGATGAGAACAAGGAAAATATTGTTTGGTGTGGCAGGTGCTGTGCTCAGCAAGGTTGTCTTGGCAGTACAAGTTCACCATCTGTCTGCACTGTATCCTGCTTCTGCAGCTTAGGCTTATTAGGCAAAGCAAATACCTCAGAAAAAACTAAGGCAGGTTTTTAGTGTTGAAGACAGCAGAATATTGTAATTATTATTACTTTTTAAAGGAACCCTTTTCAATATCCTTGTTGGTTCACAGGTTCAGAATGACCTTGTTACTCAAAGAGTGTGAAATTCGTTCCTCTAACAAGTCTGTTTTCCTCCTCTTGAGTGACACGGTGATGATGTGGATGCCTTTCAGGTTAAACTCAATAAACTATCCCAGTCTGTCTCTTCTAGCCCACCCCTAGCAAAGCTGGACCACAAATTGATCCTTGACCACACCTTTGTTGACTTAATTTACAGGAATGAGGAGAAGTCCTCCATGTCTCGTGGTGGCTGTGTTCTCAGGAGACATTGTGGCTTTCAAAGGCTGTGCTTAAAAAGTTTTGTTTTTGTTTTTTTGGTTTGGCTGCCCTTGTCAGCAATCATTATCTAGGTCATTGCTGGAGGACTGATCCAAATCTGAGAAGCAGTCTGCATTGTCTTTCACAGTGGAGGTCAACAAGGCCAAACGAGTTCAGAAATGTGTTCTTTGTTAAGCTCTTACTAGCATATCGTTACTTCTGTACCAGGCCTGCAGTTTTGCTTGTTGATATCCTTCTAGGAAATATATACTTCTATCCTGTACCAGGATACTAATTGCTATCCCCAAGTACTGTGGTGTTTGTGGCGCTTTCATATTTTTGCCATCTGTTCTGTTCTTCCACCTCCACACCCACACTAGATATTTTTAAGTAGCCTCCCAAAAACTTGTGTGCACGGTTTAAATATTGTTTGTTCATTTGGTTGGGAGATGGAGTGCTAACCTTTTAAACTTTTGTTGTGCTGATCATTTTCTTGCTCACTGCGCTATTGTGATGTTCTCCAGAGTAGATGAAACCTTGCATGTTAGTGAACTGTGTGCAGGGTGGTATTTAGCATGCAGGTTGAAAATTGCAATAACAAAATGTTTTATACCCATTGGACCAAAAAAAACCAACACCCCCAAACCCTCAAAACCCTTCTTTTTAAAAATAATCAATCTGCTTTGAATCTGCAGTGAGGAAAGATAAAAACCTGTCAAGTAGACCTGGAGCTCCATTCAGACTTTGCCACTTATTAGATATCTATCATTTTAAATCAAACTTTAGCCCCCCCCCAACAACCTGCATACAACCAAACACTTTCCCTCTGGAACAAGAGCTCAAAGGCATGTTGTTAAGACGGCAAAAATTAAAACAGACTTTATCAGAGTAACTATTTTCTTTACATGCAGTACTAAAGCAATTTACACATTACCAGAGACCTTGGTCTTCAAATAGCAAATAATGTTTCTATTGTTTGCACACTAACTTGGCTATTAGATACTGAATTTACAGCTGCATTCATGCCTGCTTTCAGTACATTTTATTATTATTTTAGTGTTAATTTTCCAGCCTATAATCTGTGTTACACAATAAGGTGCATATGATTTGTTGCTTTCCAAACTGGGTCATATGTTCTGCTCTTATGTCTGCCTCGGTTGTTTGTGTGTGTTCATTTTCTTTGAAGTTATTCCAAAAATACAAATAATACAGCACTATCTACAATATTTAGTCTTTCATTTAAACTTTTTTAAAGGTATCTGGGGGGGGGGGAATAAAAAAACACGTGGTTTTTATTCAAACTTATTGGTAGTGGTTCATGTGAAACTACAAGGAATCTTAACTTGCTTTAAGCTTCTGTTGTTCCCTTTAACCTCAATTTGCTGCTTAATTTCTAATGTAACTACCAGTTATATGCAGAAAAAGATTTCAGCAGTTGTGTACCTGCCTCCTTTTAACTGAGCAAATGGTGATGTTCTAGTTTTTAGACCTAAGGTCTGTTATTGCAATACTTTTAAAGGAAAATGTTGCTCTAAGTGCTGTTGTTAGTTTTAAATACAGATTTTATGCTTGTTCTTAAGGAGCTGTGGTCAAACCACAGAACAAAGCTATTAAAAAATCAAGATGTTAATTGGTCTCTTGTTCAGTTTTTTCTTTTCTCAAACAGATGATGCTCTAAAATGAGGGGGTGGGCAGCCTAACAATGTTTCAGATGCTTGAATATACCCTGGAAATGCAACATACATTTTAAACCCATGACATCCCCCAAGGAATCCTGGGAAGTTTTGTTAAGTGTGCTGGGAACTGTGTAGCTCTAGGAAAAGGAAACTGCAGGTCTCGGGATTCTTTGGGGGAAGTCCTAGGCTGTAAATTTGTTTTGGATGCAGTGTGAATTTGCTTCCTGCTATATAGCTCATATTGAGTTCATGTATGTTGGGAGGGGGAGGAGCCTGTGAAAACCGTGGAACTGTAGCAAAAAGTGATAACTACAGCAAAATGGGTTAATATCAGGGCATGCCCAGATAGGCTGATTAGAAAAAACGTAAGATTAGCTCTAAGAAGAGCGTTTCCTTGGGCAATAAACTGCTTGTTCCAACAGCATAATCTCCCTCCCCTCCCACACTGTGTGATGTTTTGGGGCTTCTCTCCACACTCCAGAGCAGATCTTTGGGGCGGGGGGAGGGGGAGGTCTAACTGTGCTAGTTCTGCTGGTTTCTGCTAGTGCGACAATTTAGTCATATAGGACTCATTGGTTTTAAACTTAGCTTTTTTAAAAAATTTACTATAAAAATTAAATAAATCCAAACCTACTTTTACTGAATCCTCTGGGTATATCTTCCAACAACACTTTTGAGAGAGTTGATTTCTTCTCCCTGTCCCCCAAAGCTTCATTTTATAGATTCCACTAAAGAAGATAAAAGCTAAGTTTGTTTTTTTAACCCTGGTCCCAAATCCCCAATGCACCAGTCAAATGTACACAGCTTCATTTCTGAGACTGCTTTGATCTTTCTCCTAATCTGCTTTTCACTGTAATTATATTTGTTTGAAAATATGGCTTCCATTTGATTGTGCCTCCTGAAATCATTGCCTGTCAACCAGCTATAGACAGGGTCACTCTCTTCTCCATAGGTGGTTTCCTGCTGGAAGCTGAATCCAGTATCTGTCTGCTATTATGTGGTAGAATGCTCAGGGTTAGCTTTCACCCTCCCAAACTTATTGATTCTCATTAAATACAATCATTTTTAAAAAATAATAATAATCCCTTTTCTAGCTAATGCTCTCTTTCAGAGACTTTGCTGCTTAGGCAAAAAATTAATTAGGCTTCTTTTTCATTATCACATTTTTTTGATCTGCTGTGCTTTGAATGAGTTCTAATTAAAATGTGCAGTTAAAAAGAAACCCTGCTTCCTGTATCATCTCCTGAAATGACCTCATTTACACTCCATTAAGAGGCCAGGGCATATTTTTATTTTGTTTGATGCTTTTTCTGCTTTATTAATCCAAGGATTATGGTTATTAGTTTAAGTTAGCCCAATTGGTCTTGGCCAGCAATGGGGATTACAGTGGTATCTCAGTTTAAGAACAGCCCTGTTTATGAACTATTCAGTTTACGAACTCCGCAAAACCGGAAGTAGTGTCCCGGTTTGCGAACTTTTCCTCGTTCTAAGAACAGAAGCCGAATGGTGGAAGGGCACTGGTGGTGGGAGGCCTCATTAGGGAAAGCACGCCTCAGTTTAAGAACAGACTTCCGGAACGCATTAAGTTCGTAAACCGAGGTACCACTGTATAGTGCATCTGTATAATATTCCAGAGTATATAATCTTACATACCTAAATGTTTCTATAACTTCAGCATAAACTTTTTACTTACTACATTTATATCCCACCCTTTCCTCCAAGGAACTCGAGGTGACATACATGGCATCCTCACTCCCCATTTTATCCTCACAACTCTGTGACAGAGCTTGGGCTAAGAGACAAAATTAGCCATGAAGCTCACTGGGGTCTGTCTCCCGGCTCCCAGTCCAACACTTTAACCAGTATCCCACACTGGCTCTTTGAACCTCTCCCACTTTCAGATGGGAAGAGGGAAGGACATATTTCCAGCACAGTTTAATCCACAGACTGGTACAATATTTTCTATATGGCATTGAACTCATCCTCCTAGTATGTTATACAAAAATGGCTTAGAGCAGCTCATTACCTGAGGGAGACAGTATATTTGGCAGGGGAGTGGATTGAGCTGAGCTGCACTCAGTACCTCAAGGAAACCCCATACCTCAAAATTAACCTTACTCTGTGGGTCCACATATCAGGGTAATTTCCTCTGAAATATACCAACCCTGCAAACAACGACAGCAGAAAGCAAATCTAGTCTTATGCTAGGCTGCTTTAAAAGGTTTCCGCAAACCTAAATAGGATATCTGACATGTGGTGACATAAGAAAAGTCAGGTTCTGAGCTGCTGTCAGTTGCAAAGGAGCAGAGGAGGCCCCCTCATAATACATCAGGGAGTTCCCTGATGCTTTTCACGGCCCTTGTGCAAAGGAATAGAAGAGGAATGAATAGAGGTATAATTACTTGTAATGGGTGAATCTCCTTCCCCAGCTCAGTTTTCCATTGGGCTTGGTAAATAAGCTGTTTTGGGAATAAAGAGAATAGCAGTACTGAAGTAGATGGACCAATGGTCTTAATTCTGCATAAGGCAGGTTCTTACATTATTGTGTTTAGAGATGTCAACACTACAGGACAAAGCAAACATAAGAAAGCAGTGCAACCTGATTTATCCAAGAGAACGCAAATGGGCATTTTTTTGTGGGCCTCTCATGCAAATTGTGTGGCATTAGTGCTTGGAAAGAAAAACCAACAGCTCTGCTGATCTGTGTTAACAACGGCACATTTTTTCTTTCTCTCTGAGATTCTGAAGCTTCTAGGCAAACAGCCAGAACACAGCAGTATCTTAGTGACAGAAACCATATCTTTCCCCCTCCCTGCAACAAGCCTAAGCAACACCCCGGAGCTCAAGAAGCCCCCTTGAGAGCCAGGCCCTGCTCACTCCTGATTAATTTAACTTTTACCGATATTACGGAGATTGACAGTTGAGTAAGTGGAAAATCCCAATTTAATCTAGTGTTGAGTGTGCTGCAGATCGCAGACACAAGCTCAGACAGCTTGACCTACATTTAACCCTACACAGCAGGAATCTCTTAGCAAGGAAAAAAGAGAAAAGAAACCAGTTTTATTCTTCTCACTACGGAAAAGATTCTTTCCCCCCACCCTGGTTTTTTTTTGGGGTGTGTGTACATCCTTCCCCTATCCGTTCATGGTAAATGTGACATTCCCAGGCTTGAAATGCTTCAGAGACTCGGGATCAGGACACACTGCGCCACTGCTCAGCATGGATAACAATGTGATTCCAAAAGTCTTAAGAAATAAATATATCTCTCTTTAACAAGTCATCCTCAAAGTGCCCAGGGAATGGTCATTCTGTTGTTCTCTTGTTTGATAACCAGAAAATGAGTCCAGCAAAATAAGTGTCTCTCATGGGATTCCCAACCTAATTAAATCAAAGTACTCAGATTTAAGGCTATTTAGTTGTCACTGAAGTAGCTAGGACCAATCGACACTTCAGTTAAGGCAGGGGATTTGGATTTAATGTGATTTGAGCTCATTGGCATGAATGGGATTACATAATTTTTAAAATCAAGCCCTTTAGTTGCCAACTGGGTTGCCAACTGGGATATGTGCTCTTTTCAAAGTCAAAATCTTATTGCAGCCCATTTACCAATTGGAAAGTAAACCTCACTTATTGTGGCAGCTTTAATGCTCTGGCTGATGCACATTGTAGGAGCAGCAGCAACAAGGCTTCAAATCTGCTAAGTCCTCCTCAAAAGCATGATGCACTTGAGCATGGTCTTCTACTTGCACCTTCTTCTCCACAACCCTTACTGCATTGTCATGGGATACCTACATCTAGCTGTTAGTGCTTTTCTTAAGACACAGTCTGTGGAGCTGAAGTGTTGATTGGTCCTAGCTACTTCAGTGACAACTAAATAGCCTTAAATCTGAGTACTTTGATTTAATTAGGTTGGGAACCCCAATTCTTAAGGTTGGGCTGATTTATTTTTATTTATTCATGTTCGAGATTTATAGCCAACACATGGCTCCATAATGTGCCCTTACGGTAGCAAACATGGCATTACAACAATCAATAAACCAGCCAGTTAAACACATCAATAAAACCAGAAGCCATTCAACAACCATAGCAGTCTAATTGTTAGAACACCACGGCAGGCTAAAAAACCACCACGACCTATTGCAAGACCATGATCAATATCCAAGTACACACCCATACAAAAGGTTTATTTGTTCACAAATTTTCTGAAAGCCAGTATGGAATGAAATGCTCTAGGGAGAGAATTCTAAATGTGAATGACATGGCTAAAAATTCTCCAGCCTCCTTGCTAGCTAAACTAATATCAGATAGCACTAGCACAGGCATACCCAACCTGCGACACTCCAGATGTTTTGGCCTACAACTCCCATGATCTAACAGGACCAGTGGTCAGGGGTGATGGGAATTGTAGTCCAAAACATCTGGAGGGCTGAAGGTTGGGGATGCCTGCACTAGCACCTAGACCAAAGCATCAACCCACTGCCAGATTTCAAAAGAGCAAGGTATTCAAAGGATCTTCCAACAAACGCCTAACAGGATACATAACATATATATAAGAGCCTGCTGGATCGAGCCATCTAGTCCAGCATCCTGTTCTCACTGTGGCCAACCAGATGCCTATGGAAAATCTACAAGTAATATCGGAGCACAAAAGCACTCTTCCTGCTCTAATGCTACCCCTACCCCAAGGTACTGCTTGATATAACCAAGACATCACCTTAAAAGACACACATACACAATCAGTGTTAACCTTGGCTATAGTCAATCCTACAGTCATTATAGAATAGTTATCAGCAATGAAAAGCTACTGACTTCTCCTTTTGCGTACCTTGCATTACTTACATTGTGGTGGACAAGTTCTCCATTATCTATTATTATTCTAGTCACATTTGCATGTCCAAATACATCCCCTTAATAAAAATCTACCACTATACTGTATGTTTTCTCTTTTCTTTTTTTTAAAAAAGCTGACAATTCCCTTTAAAAGCAACAAACCAAGTTTATATTAATGCACAGAGTCGCCTGTGATTGTCTCATCAATTAATCAGGCTGGGAAACAAACTCAATGTTACAGGCTTGCTTGCAGGCTTATACAATCAAGATGTGTTCTTTCTACTTACAGAATTGTCCTCATCAGACTAGCCACATAATTGCTAGAGGTAATTAAGATTCTGTAATTATTATTATGGGTGACAGTAAACGATTTATGCAGAAGGATAGAGCTTGATTTTTATTAAGCAAACCACCCAAAGGGATCACACATAACCATAAGACCAGAGCATTAAACAAACCTGACAGAAAAGTCATAGAAAGGAGGAAAAAACACAAAGGCTATGCCAATATGAAATCAGGTTACCTGGGAGTCTGTTGCATGCAGATTCTGTGCACACATTATCTAGCACCTTGTTTCAGCGAGACATGCAGCAAGTTCATGAGATGTAGCTTCCAAGCTAAAATAAAATCAGATGCCAAGTAAGCATGGCTGTTGAATTCCCAGGTACTCTAGGGACACAGGGAGTGACCTAGATAGGCTATGATGGATTATTGACTTTGTGGGCCTTGTTCAGGTTCCAGTTCTAAGCAGATGTTCTATTGCAAAGCACGGAAGCTTCGATTTTAAACCCAAACTAGCCCTGGATTTATGAAAATACTAATTTACACACGAGGTGCAGTAATAGAAAGTTGACTGGATCTCCATCAGGCTGAAACAACATGAGAGATGCAATCGTGCATCTCGTAAGGCTTGGTTTCCCGACCCTTGATCATATAAAAATGGCAGAGGAAGCATTTATGCAATTGCTATCATGTGATGTTTAAGCCTCAGACCAGTATACTAACCCAGAGAGATCTTTACGTCTGACCATTTCCAAAGTCTGAAACCTTCTAAGTAAAATTACTTAGCTATTAGCTATTACAAAGCTTGTTTGTTCATAACAGTTATGTTAGACAGAAACTTGACAACCTAGTAGGGTGGAAATACCAAAGTGTCTCATGCTGTTTTAATACTTATTCTAAAAATGGTGACAAAAACTTTTGTGCATCTAAAAAGTACTTTATTTATAGTATTTTGTTTAAGAAATTAAAGGAACAAGACTAGGCTCCAAGAAAAGATGGCTGAAGGACTGTTGGGTCCTGCAGGTGTCCTACTCTTTGCGTGGAAAAGGAGGTCTGCTGCTACACCAGCCCCTACCACCTTAGGATTGCTCTGCTGGTTGAACTTGTATTGATCACTTTGGTATATGCCAGGAAACACTTCATTATATTTGTACAAAACAAGTCTTGATAATGCTCTCTTCAGTTGAATCACTGCTGGCACCAGCAGCTGAGAAATTTATTTCACTAAAGATGCCTTCACATTACGTTTTATGCAGAATGTTTTGATTCAACTAAGAAGATAACATAGCACAGTCTGATCCATACTTTTCTGGAGAAGTTTGTTGGAATTAGTACCAGTTATTTGGAGGGAAATATTATGGATTTGTGCTTAACTGAAGTATTAAAACAGAACCCTTTCACCAAAGAATGAATGAAAAGCCATGATGTTTGGCGCTCCTGCTATGAAGCACGTTCCCTCCCCCCATATTGAATTATGTAATTCATAGAGAATACATGAGGCCACAAGGTGTTTGAAGCAAATGGCTTGGGTCCAGTGGAGCTTTCTCCATTTGTCTGTTTTCTCTTTTGGATGGGAGTCACAAAGATAATTACGGTGATAAAGAAAACAGTTCAAAGGAAAATTTGTAACAACAAACTAGTTATTAGGGACCAAGTGGAGAATGGTTGTGATGCAATTTAATATTATAACCATTTCACAAGCAAAAGTTTATTTTTCAGAAGAGTATCATTAGGGAAAATTAGAATAACATCTCTGCAAACTCCAAGCAAAAGTCTCAGCACAATTATTTCCACAGTAAGGATACAAAAGTTATGAAAAAAAAATCATTTAAAAGATAATTGCTTTTCAAAAACATACACTACACACAACTTTTATCTATATCAGCATAATGTTTAAAGCATATTGGAGGACGGTGAAAGGGAGTTATAACTTACAGATCCTCTCAGCCAGTGACACAAGAAGAACCCACAGACAGTAATGATGTGCCATGAGTACTTTAATAATGGTACTTTGCAAAATTTATTCCAGCAAGATCCATCTACAGTGGATATAAGAAAAAGGCAAACTTGTCAAGGAATAAATTGGATAGTGGATGAAAGATAACATTTCACCAAATATTGTGGCTTTGCCATCTTCCTTCAGTGTGGCTGGCGCAGAGAGCCAGGGAAAGTCACACTGAAATGAATGATCAAGCACAGCAGCAGCATGCAGATACTGCTTCCATCCCACCCCAATATTATTTCTAAGCCCTAGGTGTTATCACTACAACAAAACACAAATTTTATTTCAAGAAAGAGGACGGAATTGTTTCATTTTAAATAGACTGACATTAAACCAGAATATATTCTTTTAAACTTGGCTTAACAGTACAAAGACAAGGAAGGGAAAATCATTCAGAAATAGAGGACTGCAGCCTAGAAATCTATTTTCCCCCTGTACTATTTTATGTGTATTATATATGCAAAGGTAAAAGTGGCCAGGTCTGTACTAGGGTGAAAGCTAACATCCATGCAATTGACATCTGACAGCATAACTCTCCAACATGCTCTTTGTGGAAAAATAAAATAAATATTGCGCTTAAGGCCATGGTGGTACTTCACTTCCAGCCATGGCTCTTATTTTTCACTATGCTGTCCTTGCACGTTGTGATGACCTCATGACCTCAGTGCTGCTTTCTGAAGTATGCTGTTCTAAGTATCAACCTTTGGGGCTTTCCTCTAGCAAGATCCGCAAATCTACCTAGGAAAAAGCAAACCAATACATACCAGGGTACAAGGCCAGGTAAACCATATCTCATTAATAAGCAGGTGCCCACTTTGAACTCAGACTAACATTAGGGCTGCTTATTTTAGAGCTGCTTATTTTTGACCCAAATATATGGGGGCACAACTATGGTCACAGTTCCCTGCGTCTCCCGATGCTGGCCATGTGCCTTGCTTTCATGTTGCTTTTGTTATTTTCAGCTTTATTACATATGCTAAGAAACTTTGTGAAAATGGCTGCTGATTCAAATCTCTGCAACAGGGGAGGTCCCAGTTTGACACCTGCAGTTAAAGCAATTTAAAATTGGCGTGGCAAATGTTCATGCCATACTGACTTCCACCTTTTTGAATATTTTATCCATAGCTATTTTCTCACAGAATCCTTTCACTCAATTAAAAGATACAAGAAAGACAAAGGGAAGACAAAAAGCCAACTGCCAATGTCTTCTCTCTCGTGCATCCAGTCCCATTCACAAAGCATGCTTATAACAGCATTACACTGGTGGTGGATACAACTACCTATTTTATCACATATTTTTCTTCCTGATGTACACAGAAAATCCTCATTGTCAGCTGCCAGAATGACACAGGCAATTTATCTTCCATGTGATGAGAGAAAGGAGAAAAATTCATGTCAGGGGTATCTTTGATAGTTCAGTTGAACTAATACAGTAATGCCAGGATGAACATGCAGTGTCGAGTGGTGCTCATCCTGCACAATTGGGACCAAAGGAAACATGCCACCTTGGAAGAAAAAAGGCATGGTGAGCACTTGGAAGATGGATTCAAGAAACTCAGTCTGGGATACACAAGTGGCAGTAAGTTCAGCCTCACCATTGAAAACTGACCACATAAAGAGGGGAGCAATTTATATCATTGTACAATACTGTCTTTGAACTCTTATACAGGGTGAGTCTTTTAAAAGAGGTCCCATGGAACAGGGGTACTCTGTATCCACGGGGGTTGTTTTAAAGGACTAACCCTGTAATAGTGTAACTCTCAAAAGTCTTAATTGCCCTGCACAAGATGGTTTGTTGGTAAGTGCTTCCCTCTTATACTTGAAAGCATTAAAGAAAACAATTCCTTAAATCAGTAGCATGAAAAAGTAGTCAGAGCACATTTTGGCAATGGACTTTGCAGATGCCTCTTGGACTGCCATCAATCTCCCTTACACTGTCCCTGAAAGAGGGCCTTTATGAAGTTAACTCTACAGATGCTTTCTGGTAACTTGACAGAAATAAAAGAAGCAAGTCTAGAAATAGACGGACAAATACATATCTTCCTTCATATAGCTTAAAGGTAACCAGATTGCAAAAAATGTTTGCTGCTTTGGGTGCAATCCTATCACTGGCTCCTTTTTCCACCAGTCACAGCACAAGCAGTGGTATACATACACAAGAGGTTGAAAGGGTGCACCATGAGTTTCTGGATCTCCCACTCCAATGCAGTACTCCTTTATATTCCAGCTTATAAGCGCTTTAAAAAACAAAATCATAGGAGAACTGAAATGCCATGTTATGCTTCAGACAGAACAGGTAACTTTGGATGGCATTCAATGAAGATATACTCAGAGATGACCCACTTAAACCAATGAACAAGGCTAAGCCAGGGCCATTAATTTCAATGGGTCTACTCTGAGTAAAACTTAACTGACTACCACAGAAAATTACAACAACATGGGAATCATAAAAATCACACCTGTAAATTTTAGATTACTCCATAGTACTCAACAGTATAGTAATGCTGAAGTTTTGTGGAAATTTTCTAGGATTCTTCAATGTAAAAGGCAGCAGCATCTATCAGTCTTTACTCTAAACACAAAGATGAAAATGTAAATGACTATTCATATGCAGAGGTAGGTTTATCTTCTCTATTTTCAAAACTTTTAATGATGGCATGACATTTTTAGTCTAACCGTGGAATAATCAATCCAATTGCACATTTGAAATATTCAATTAAGTTTAGTATCATTTTACAGTCTCTCTCATACACCATTCAGTAAACTGTTTATAAGAATATAGCAGTAATATATATTTTATAATTACCTGATCTTTTAAGAATATTATGATTAAATGATTTACAAATATTGACACCATCTCCAAAATATGTTTGTGTACATGACCCAAACATTCTCAAACATTGCTTCCAAGACACTTAACAGTGACAAAGAGGTCAGCTCAAATCAGATGTGTAGATAACTTTGTTCTTTCCCCACAAAGATCCAGACAAGACTGTTGGTCATAATTAGGCAGACCACAGAACCCCACTTTGGGACCTAGCTATGGTCCAAATCCTAACACTTGAAAATATTGCAATAATTTTCTAAAGTTGGGTGTGATGTTCTTGTTTTAGATGTTCTTGTTTTAGTTTTCAAATCACTGGCACTTTCTAATCAGCCCAAAACATCTAAAACAAGCAGAAACAAAAAGCAGCAAGTGTATACATTTCACATTTGCTAAAGAGTTACGAATGCTTTGGTTTTGCCGCCAATTTTCCTATTCTTTCTTTTTTATAAATGAAACCTTATCTTTTGTTTCCTGTATCTTTTCTGTTATCCTCTCTTTTGTTTCTTCCATCTTCCCAGTCAGCCTCTCTTTTGTTTCTTCCATTTTGCCACTAATCATGTCTCTGGTTTCCTCCATTTTCCCCGATAGTCGCTCTTTTGTTTCTTCCATTCGATCCTGAATGTAGTCCTTGACTAGAGGTGGTGTGGACATGTAGCCTTGCTTACGAAGGTACTTTACAGTGATAGATGTCCCTCCTAAAGTCACTGTGTATCTGGCCGGAGTTGCAATCTTGTCAATAAGAGGGAGGGAAATACACATACATGTATAACTTCAATGGCAAATTCCTCTTACCAGGCAAAATTCCTGACAGGTCTATCATTGTTAGCTGCAGCAGCACAAAAACTCCTCGTACCTCTTAAGCTAAAGCATCATCCTTACCCTGACAGGAAAACTCTCCCTGCCACCCCGGTTTCCTACTTTCTGAAAAGATATGTGCGAGTTTCCCCAAGCTTCAGTATACCTTCCAGTTGCTAAATGAACACGAGGCATGGGGCAGTCTTTTTATATCTTCCCTTGTATAAGGAAGTATCGCTGCCTGGCAGGAGCTGACAAATACTGCAGCAACAGCAGTGAGGATGCTGCTGAACTAGTAATGGTTGCTAGCAACAATATAGTTAGATCATGCCCCCTCCAGACCCTTAAACCTGATCCTTTAGAAGTGAAGCACTAGGAAATAGGATTAGTGTGCAAGTCACAACAAGCTTTACATGGTAAGGCAGCAGCTATTCAATATCAAAGAAACTGACAATTACCGTATTTTTTGCACCATAACACTCACTTTTTTCCTCCTAGAAAGTAAGGGGAAATAAATGTCTGTGCGTGTTATGGAGGAAATGCCTACGGGTGGCATGCCTACGGATTTTCCTCCTCTAAAAACTACGTGCGTGTTATGGTCGGGTGCGTGTTATGCATATGAAGGCTAGACAGTGGTCAGGGTACCTTTTCATTCCTTATTGAAACAATGCTGCATTACTCTGTTATGGTAGGTATTTTAAGGAGAGGGCAATAAATCAGACATATATTGTGGGCTTATTAACCTTCTGCCACATCCTCTAGACGTTACTAACTGAAGTTGTTTAGGGATTGATCAGTCTATTTCTGTCTCTCTTCAATTTTGCACATGCTCATTGAGAAGTCTATCCTGTCCTGGTTTCAGCATACATCTGCAACTTTAAAAACCTGCATGAAAATTCATATTTAAATACTTATTCTGATCAAAAATATATATGTAAACATGCTTTTATTTCAGTGTGCTTATTTCCTAAACCTATTTCATCCTAAAATATGCATTTAAATATATTTTCTCAGCTGAGAACCATACTACAATATTTAGAGACATGTAAAATCCAGAGGTTAATTTCCCATCTGCACATCAGGCCAGATATTGTTGAACAGGTCAGCTTGCATCAGAATTTGCAGAAGTAAACTTTCCAAGTTCTGTGCAAAGTTATTTAGTGTCCAATCGTATGTCTGCTTGAAGGACTTATGACTGCAGCCTTCTATAGCAAAAGGATGAATTCTCCAGTATTATATACTTGAGATGATGGACAATAAATGACTGGTAATATCCAGAAGATATGTCACAAAAGTTACTAAGCTCATTAAGTTCTGTCTGCATTGCTGTGCTTTTCTTAAAGTTTCTGAAGGTTGACAGTTGCAAAGCCCTGCTTAAGTAAGAAAAAATGGAATCTTGCTTTGAAAGTTAGCTATGCTATAGTGTGGCAATGCAATACAGTCATACCTTGGAAGTTGAATAGAATCCGTTCCAGAAGTCCGTTCGACTTCCGAAACGTTCACCTTCCAAAGTGCGGTTTCTGATTGGCTGCAGGAATCTCCTGCAGCCAATATGAAGCCATGGAAGCACCGTCAGATGTTTGGCTTCCAAAATAATGTTCAAAACTGGAACAATCACTTCTGGTTTTCGATTGTTTGGGAGCCAAAACGTTCGACTCCCAAGGCATTCGGGAGCCAAGGTATGACTGTACAGGTTTAATCTTGAAGAGTGACTTCAGTGGAGTGTGAAGCTTTTTCAAAGAATACATTTTCAAAGCATGAAGATGATGTTATCTATGTAAGGACTAAACAAGACCTTTATATGCTTTTGATTGTCCTTTCTAATCTTGTACCCTCTGTGCTCGCTCTTTACTCCCACCCAAATCTTTGTTCCCAGTTTTGAGTTCCACATAATGACATATCATCAGGAAATAAGTGGGAGGACATATACTAATTCCTACTTCACTGAAAGCTGATGGTTTGGCAGTTTTGTATCTACTTATAAATGCTTTCTGCCTCTTGCATCAGAAAAAGCTCTCACTTTACTTGATAGTGTCTTATTGGAAAATATTTAGCACCTGGCAGTAGAATTAAAGCTCAGAGATCTTAATAAAAGGCTAGCCAGTGGCACGACGTGAGAAATGCAGGTGAAAGAAAAATAAAAAGCATTAAGACAGAGCACAGCCAATTCTATTGAGAGAGGAAAGCAATTAAAGCAATTCAGTATCCATGCAACAAAACAAAGCTGTTGTTAAAATTCAAATTGAGAGAACAAAAACTAAAAGACAAAAAAAATCCCACATTTATTCTTTTTGAGAAGGTAAAATAATTTCCAATATTGTTCTTCAATTCTGGAAAAACTGGCAATTCCTGCCTTAGTCCTACGTATGGGAAGCGAGATCCAAACTCCATTCAGGAGCAAGGCTATTGCTGGTTAAACCAGCCTAAGACCAGAAGAGGGGAAACAAGCATAAATTCCGCCACGTTGCCAGGTTACATGAGCAAACAGAATAGAGTTAGGATCCCTGGTCTCCCTGGTCTCACCTCCCTGCCCATTTTCCAAGGTCTGGGCTCGGCACTAAGCCAGGATTAATGATTGGGGACTTATGCTGGCATAACCAGGCTGAGCACAGAGCCTGCTGGCTAAACCAGCGATCTGCCACATCTCTCATTTCAACAGATATAGGGTTAGATCTTCACCCTTTGTATTGTATTGTATTTGAGATTAAAACCTAAACTCTTGGGGGTGAAAGAAGTAGCGGGATTTTTAGATCTCATTCTTACTGGACTTGGTCATATTCATTTTAATAGCAGTAGGGCTTCCAATAGAAAGAAAAGAAAAAAATCTAATCAATTATAGTCTCCTTAGCAACTGAGAACACAAGTCAGACTCTCATTGAACAGACAAGAGAAATAAAGACATGTGAATCGGTGGGAGAACAACTCCCTACTTAATATTGATACCATGTATCTTCATCTTGTTCATTCTCAGAACAACAAATCTGCCGAGGTATGGCATTATTATTCCCATTTCACATATGGGAAATGGAGGAAGTGCCTTGCCACTCAAAAGTTCACCAGTATCATGGTTTAAGCTAGTGTCTCATTGGTTCACAAGCACTCCTTTTAATGCATTCAACTGGTCTTACAAATAAATGCAAAAAGGACAAACCAACACCATTAGTGCTGTGTTATATTTCCATGGTGACACACTAATGGAAGGACTGATCTTCTATTGCCTCCAGAACTTACAGGTTCTAATTCTGAGGAGAGGAAGTGTTACCATAAAGCACCAATGCTGCAGCAAGCAAAGGCTCCAGCAGCTCAGTCTGCTGCTTGTGGCTGGAAAGCCAGACAGGATGTTTGTGACTGTTGCCATGGGAACAAAGGGGCAGTTCATTCTGTACTGAGCACCGGATGTTAGCTCAGTGTGTGTGTCATATGACCTGTACTGGAAGTACATAGGTGGAGTTTCTTCTTGCTGTTGTCGAGTGCAGACGTATTTCTCTGTACTGATATGAGAGACAGAAATAAAAGATGTAAATAGTTTTCTGTCTGCTTCTTTCCCCTCCCTGGGGGACACCAAAGGGGAGAGAGGAAGAACGGTGTGTTCCTCTCACACATCTGAGAAGAATCGCCGGGACCTCGCCTGCTTATCAGCAGAGTGGAGACGCGGGGAGGTCGACAGGAATATCTGCCGGTGCCTACGCTGTTGGCACATTCCTTTGACCCAAGCAGAATTCCAACAGTGGCAGCCTTCGGATGGTTGCGATTCATCGGACATCTGCATGAGAGGCTGGTGAATTGTCCTCCTCTGCTCCATGGAAGCCTGATTTGAGAGGCTGATTTCTCTGCAGCCAGAAGCTGACCAGAAGAAGCTAACAGCCAAGCCGATGCTCAAGGTATGAGACTTTTAAGGGCTTAGAAGTGTGAATGCAGAATGATTCATTCTCTGCTTCACGGAGAGCGTGTGTGGGAAAGCAGCTCCAACTTAGAAGAGGCCTGCATACCAGGCATTTTTGTGGTTTCCTGTCCGAGGAAAGGAATGCGCTGTTGCTAGGCAACGTCCTTCAGAAGGCTGTGCCTCAGTGAGGAGAATGGAATGTTATTCGAGAGGGCTGGACAGTCAGACTATGCTTCAGAGAGGCGAAAACAAAGTTTGTTATGACTAGGTCCTCACGAACTGCTGGAAGGGACTTTCCGACGCAGCCAGTGTCAGAGTTGCCAGGTGTCAAGCGTGTAAACAAGCCAGCTATTGGATTTTAGAGGCTTGTGTTTCAGAGTCAATGCAAGGACTCAAAATGGATGCCAAGAAGGGGGGAGGTTTGCCTTCTCCACCCCTCCTGACTAATGACAATTATTCATCTTGGTCTGTAAAGATGAAGGCCCTGCTGCAGAATCAGAGACTGTTTGAAGTGATTGAAAACCCCATCCCTGCAGCACCAACGCGTGCTTGGGAGTCACAGAATGTGAAGGCTAGGACTGCCATATTTCTGTGTGTGTCAGACTCGCAGCTTGTGCATATACAGCATTTGGAATTTGCGAAAGAGGTTTGGGATACGCTGCGTACAACGCATCAGAGAGATGCAGGTTCTTCAGCGTTGCTGTATTTTGAGAAGTTGACCAATCTGAGATTAGCGCCTGATGGAGATGTTCAAGCGCACCTGACAGAGATGAAGTTTCTGCGTCAACAGATGGTGGAACGCAATTTCCGTCTACAGGAGGAAGTGTTTTGCTTCATGATGATAAACAGCCTGAACCACACCTACAAGGTTGTTGCCAGTCAGCTTGGTTCGCTACCTGCTCAGCAGCTAACCGCGGAAAGAGTGTGTGCCGTGGTCCTGAATGAACACGACAGACTTGCTGCACTGGAAGTGAAAGACAGAGGGAGGCAAGAACAGAGTTCGAATCTTCCCACTGCTGGTGATGCCGTAGCATTGAGTGCCGTCCGATGCTACAATTGTGGACAGACTGGGCATCTACAGCGAAACTGTAAGAAGCCGCGACAGTCAAAAGGAGCCAAGAACAGCTCTACGAAGCCTGAGGCGTCAAGCAAAAGCCGTACCAAGTGCCAGGTGAAACCTGCAAAGGCTATGATGGCGAAAGGAACCACGCCAGATGTTGGGAACGCATTCATAATCGATACCGGCGCCACGAAGCATCTCTGCCCACACAGAGAACTGTTTTCGACGTTGAAGAAGCAAAGCTTCACTGTGAAACAAGCCAACGGTCAAGAGCTGGAAGCGACCGGAATTGGAACTGTGTATCTAGAGAGTCTGAACTTGACTATAAGCGATGTTTACCTGGTTCCAGAACTGAAGTTTAGTCTGCTGAGTGCTTCGCAGATTGCAAAGAAGGGACTAAAACTGTACTATGATGATAAAAGATGCAAGATCTACAAAGATGGAGAACTGTTTCTTACTGCCAGAGAGAAAGATGGACTGTATTTGTTGACCTTTGATCAAAGTGATTACATGAAATGTAATTCTTCTGATTCTAACGAAATCTCTCTTACAGGTGTGACCAGTGTGAGCACCAGGAAGGTGTCCAAGAAGGTCGACAGAGCATTTCAGCGGGTGTATGCTGATGTGATTGGTCCTCTAGAACCATCTAGAGGCAATGCAAAATATTACCTTTTGTGTGTTGATTGTTACACTAATTATTCTTGGGTTTATATGATGAAGAAACCGCAGGAGACTTTAGAAAAGTTTCAGGAGTTTTGTGACAAGGTTAAAAGTATGCATGATGCTAACATTGATTGTCTTTTCACAGATGACAAGCCAGTTTTTCTTTTACAGGATTTCCAGAGGTTCCTGCAGGAGAAAGGGATAAGACACAAACTTGCTAGTTCCGAAGAAGCATGGAAGAAATGTGTCTGTGTTAAAGTGAACAAAGAATTGCAAAAAGGGGATGCATGCGCAATTGCTAAGTTCACATTTACCACATGAATATTGGGCCGAATCTTTAGCGTCCTATCTTCATGTGTGGTTGAGAAAAGTCTCAACAGAGTTGGGATGTTCTCCTTTTGAGAAGCTGTTTAACAGAAAACCTTCTGTTGCCTATTTTAAGGTTTTCGGGTCTCATGTGAGAACAGAAACTCCAGGTGGGGTAAAGAATGCCAGAGGCATCTTCGTGGGTTATGAAAAAGGTCTCTATAGAGTAATTTTGTCTGAATCTGGTCAGGTGATTCTCACAAAGTTTCTAGAGAGTGCTCCAGAGCAAGAGCGAGTAGAACACACATTTCCCACAGGTGGCAATTCAGATGATTCTGATGATGAGTTTGATCTTATTGAGTTCAGTGGTACTGATGATGACAGCGATAGCTCAGACAGCTCAGTTGTCACAGTCATTGAGAGGAAATCTCAAATGATGACTAGACCCTCAGAAGAGGAGGATGAACCACTGATTAAGCTTAGTACTGGTTCTCCAGAGAGTTCAGAGGCTGAACCAGAAAGCAGAGAAGAGAAGCAACTCTTACGTAGGTCTGAGAGAGCAACAAAGGGTGTACCACCCAAGAGGTATTCAAAGGAGTTTGCTAACCTAGCATATGTTGCTGTTGTAAATGATCAAGGACAGATTGAAGCTGTGTCTGAGTCAGAGACAAAGGCACAACAGAGAGTTGTTAACCAAGGTAATGCGAAGTCACACAACCAGAGAGGTACATTGGTTAAACCAGTGGCGGGTAGTTCCAAGGGTGGAACTGAAACAACAGGGGAATGTTATAAGTATAACAACTGTTTGTTTTCTTCTCTGGATGACGCTTTGCTCGCAGCAAGCATTGATACTTTAGGGGGAGTATGTTACCATAAAGCACCAATGCTGCAGCAAGCAAAGGCTCCAGCAGCTCAGTCTGCTGCTTGTGGCTGGAAAGCCAGACAGGATGTTTGTGACTGTTGCCATGGGAACAAAGGGGCAGTTCATTCTGTACTGAGCACCGGATGTTAGCTCAGTGTGTGTGTCATATGACCTGTACTGGAAGTACATAGGTGGAGTTTCTTCTTGCTGTTGTCGAGTGCAGACGTATTTCTCTGTACTGATATGAGAGACAGAAATAAAAGATGTAAATAGTTTTCTGTCTGCTTCTTTCCCCTCCCTGGGGGACACCAAAGGGGAGAGAGGAAGAACGGTGTGTTCCTCTCACACATCTGAGAAGAATCGCCGGGACCTCGCCTGCTTATCAGCAGAGTGGAGACGCGGGGAGGTCGACAGGAATATCTGCCGGTGCCTACGCTGTTGGCACATTCCTTTGACCCAAGCAGAATTCCAACAGGAAGAACATGCATGGCCTTTCTCAGAAAGGAAAATATATGGTCCTCCAGAACTACTACAACTCCCATCAGCCCGAACCAACATGGCCAATGGTCAGGAAAGATGCAACTTAGAGAGTTGAGCATCTGGAAGTTACTCATCCCTGGCTGCACTGATGATAAATGAAAGCACTTTCATGCAGCGACACACAGAGATAAATAAGCACATGTAAAATCAGCCAAGCAACTTTGCTGTTCAACAGGCTTTCTTCATTATAACAAGGTGATAAGAAATGAAAAAGCACAGCCAAGAGTGGGGAAATAGCTAGCAGCTTAAAGGACAACAAAATGACTGGCCTTTTTGCAAGTCTGGAATTACAAGTTAGTGTAAATAAGGTTCCTGGAGCAACACAGCAAAGCAGACAATATCCCATAATTGCCTAAACCCACATGCGTCAACAACTGAGAGGTCTTTCGTTCCTTACTATGACACAAGTGTTTGACAATGGTGAAGAGTCAATTTTTACACCACGTTTTGCTAGAGAGGATGGACTTAGAGAGAAAATAAAGAATGGCAGGCAGGTAAAGTAAGGTGTTCTTCAGCTACATTACGTACAGTTTACAGAAAACTGTTAAAAATACCCACTTATTTCATACGTACAACTCTTAAAATGCTTTATGTCCACATTTAAATCTCTCATGATGCCCTGTAAATAGTATTTCCAATTGTTCCCTTCCTTTGCCAAAATGTTGACTTGGAATCTGTCTTCTTCATAACCACAGGATTGTTACCTACCCTGAGCTCTTGTGGCAAGGTCTACTTTGAATAAATTTATTCACAGCTGTGACTTTTATTTCAGAAGTTCACAGCCTTGGTCATAACAGACTGCAGGGTTAATCAGTGGGCTGTAGCCCCTTCATTATACGATTACATGATCAATATTTTTATGGACAAGGTTGCAGGTGAAATTAAGAAATCTTTGCAAGTACTTACCTTATACATTGCATAGGCAGTTAACGCATTACCACTCTGAGAATGCTTTAGAATATTTACAATGCTTTCAGGCAACCCTATGAATTCGAGGAAAGGAACAACATTTATTCCTCTGTGAAAGAAAGAGATTAAAATGAATAAAGTACTAACAACCTTATAAACATTTATTCTGACAAGACTGCAGAATAAAAGATTTTCATATTTAACAATAAATACAGTACACTTGCAACCTACGCACATTTAACTGAACACCCATTCAGCTTTATGCACTTGAACATTAAAAAATAAAAGGGGGCAGACATGTTGGGGGCAATCTTACCCACTATTGCACTCAATGGGTTTTGACTGTAACCAATTTTGGCTTCAGGCGCAATGCCCGGAAATAACTCCTGTACAGTGGTACCCCGCAAGACGAACGCCTCGCGAGACGAAAAACTCGCAAAACGAAAGGTTTTTTCGTTTTCGAGTTGCCTCGCAAGACGAATTTCCCTATGGGCTTGCTTCGCAAAATGAAGCTTGCCCCGGGGACAGCGGGTGTTCTCTTTTGAAGCAAGGGGCGGCGGGGAGATCGCTTCTCCCCACCGCCCCTTGCTTCAAAAGAGGTCTGCCCCCGGACCTCTTTTGAAGCAAGGGGCTGCGGGGAGATCGCTTCTCCCGGTGCTCCGAAGCGGGGTGGGGGTGGGGCGGGAACACCTGCCCCAGCCGCCGGGCTTCGTAGCGCTGCTGCGAAGCCGGGCTGGGGGCGGGAACACCTGCCCCAGCCACCCCGCTTCGGAACGCTGCTCCGAAGCGGGGTGGGGGGCGGGAACACCTGCCCCAGCCGCCGGGCTTCGTAGCGCTGCTGCGAAGCCAGGCGGGAACACCTGCCCCAGCCACCCCGCTTTGGAACGCTGCTCCGAAGCGGGGTGGGGGGGCGGGAACACCTGCCGCAGCCACCCCGCTTTGGAACGCTGCTCCGAAGCGGGGTGGGGGGGCGGGAACACCTGCCCCAGCCGCCGGGCTTTTTAGCGCTGCTGCGAAGCCGGGCGGGGGGCGGGAACACCTGCCCCAGCCACCCCGCTTCGGAACGCTGCTCCGAAGCGGGGTGGGGGGGGCGGGAACACTTGCCCCAGCCACCGGGCTTCGTAGCGCTGCTGCGAAGCCGGGCGGAGGGCGGGAACACCTGCCCCAGCCACCCCGCTTCGGAACGCTGCTCTGAAGCGGGGTGGGGGGGGCGGGAACACCTGCCCCGGCCACCGGGCTTTTTAGCGCTGCTGCGAAGCCGGGCGGGGGGCGGGAACACCTGCCCCAGCCACCCCGCTTTGGAACGCTGCTCCGAAGCGGGGTGGGGGGGCGGGAACACTTGCCCCAGCCACCGGGCTTCGTAGCGCTGCTGCGAAGCCGGGCGGGGGGGGGGGGGGGCGGGAACACCTTCTGAAGGCGGGCGGGGGGCGAAAGTCTTTGTCCCCCCTGCCTGCCTTCCCAGGGGCTTTTAAATCGCCCCGGACAGCGGAGAAGTCCTCCGCTGTCCCGGGGCGATTTTAAAATGCCGCCCGCCAGCATTTTAAGATCGCCCGGACAGCGGAGAAGTCCTCCGCTGTCCCAGGGTTTTTTAAAATGCTGGGGGTGGGAAGAAAAGCCCTTGTCCCCCCCCCAGCCTTCAGAAGAGGTCCGGGGACAGTCTGTCCCCGGACCTGGTCTGAAGGCGGTTTCCCTAGGAACGCATTAATTGATTTTCAATGCATTCCTATGGGAAACCGTGCATCGCAAGACGAAAAAACCGCAAGACGAAGAGACTTGCGGAACGAATTAATTTCGTCTTGCGAGGCACCACTGTATAAGTTGAGGGCTTACTGTATTGCAATCAATCACACTTTTATTGCACCAGTATAAAGTGCAGATTCAAGCATTAATGGCCAATGAAGAGGAAAATGTCAAGAGAGATCATTCAGAAGATATTCCCAGTTGTAAAACTTTAAACCAGAAGATCAAGATCAACTGTCAGATTTCTGGTTGATTTTCAATAGAATATTCAAGGGTTTTAGACTTAGTTGTTTAACAATAGCAATATCAAAATGACTTCTGTAGCCTAAATTATGCTGTTGAAATGAAGAAAGCAAACCAGGAGTGGACTTCTGTATGAATGGTCTATAACCAGGTACCAGAGCTCTATAACCAGGTACCAGAGAACAAGAGTGGCAATGTACATGACTTCACAATGAATAGAAAATGTAGAAAAAGAAAAAGACTTCAAAAATATGACACAGAGAAAACTTCTAGAGTACTTTCCCAGATAGTCCCATCATTTTGGAAGGAAAATTGTGCACCTGCAGTACAAGCAATAGTGATTTACACATACATACTCTTTAAAATATTGGAATGTTATGTGCAACAGAATATCTTGTCCTCAACTGGTGATATGGGACACATAACTGAGTTGCAGTCTAATCCAAGTTGGGTGACCACCATACAAAATGCATGATAAAAATTAAGAAATTGGATGGAAGATTACTGGAATAGACCATTACATTCTACATATGCTTTTAGAACTTGGGGTTTTAATAATATCTGTAATGGAAGGTTGCATGCGCATGTGTGTGTGTGTGTATCTCACACACTGCATAAGTGATTGGGCGCATTACTGTAAAGATTTGCTTAAGACTAATAAATATAGTGATTATGAGTTCATCACTTACTTTAAAGCTGCATAGTAAAAAATTCCAAACCATATGCTGGAAGTCAAAAGATGCACTGGAATCATAACTTTGCCATACTGTTTAAAAGTTCTCTTGAATCTCTGCACGAGACTAATAGATTTGTCTTGTAAGGGATCAAGCTCTACAGAATTTGGTTCTACAGAGTCTTTCTGGGCTAAGTTACCAGATGGTTTGGTATGAATTTCTCTTTCCAGTTCTTTATTGCGATGGTCTTCTAGTTGGGATGATGCCATGCCCAAGAATTGCCTTTCTTTGGAAACCCAAACAGCAGCAGATGCATGTAGACACTGGTGCTGGGAGCTCAACGCCAAGGAAACCATTTTCTGTCTAGTATTAAGCAAGGAGGCTTTTCCTTTTAAGAATGGAAAGATACAGCTGCGATAAGGCATCCAATATGTCCTGTACACCAGCTGAAATGGTTTCTGCATTTTGGTTGATGGCAACAGCATATTGAAGATACTGTTATATACAGCTCCTAAGAAACGTTGAAAGGAAAACTGTTAAAATTAATAACAAATACATTGTAGGCTACTGTAATACACTGAAATCAACTGTTACATTGTTATACCACAATGGTAAAAACTTTGCTCAAAAGAGGATAATTAATATTAGTACAATTATTCATCAGCCTGCAAATTTTGGCTGTGTTTACAAGCAAAGCCCATTGCCACCATGTGTTTCTGAAAAAGGTACAAACAGCACTTTGTAACGCTAACATTCTACAACAGTCCAACTATTCCTCCCTTCCAATTGGGTGGGTAGGTGAAAGGAAGGTTGTTGCTCTCCTGAGAGTAGGGCTTTTGCAGAAATCAAAAGCAATGCTGGCTCCTGCAAAAACCTGTCAGAAAAGGAAAGAAACTACACCTTTGTCCCCTTGGTTCTCTCCCTGTTGGGTTTTTACAAGAAGCTGTAGATAGACATTGCAGGAGTTTTCTGTAAAAAGCTCAACTTGCAGGATGGAAACCACCTCTCTTTCCCTCTACAGAGTATAGGAAGGACATTGCCTGTAGGAAGATTTTTGGGGAACGTGCCAGGACCATCTCATGCTAAAACTAAACAGGAAGAGAAACATCTACTGCTTCTTTCCTCCACAGAGGAAAAAGACAAGAGTTGTTCCTTTCCTGTTGGGTTTTTGTATGAAATTATACAAAAGGGAGGGGGGGGGTAAATGAAGTATTATAGAACACAATTCAAAACTGCATTCAAAAAAACATGAAGTCTTTGCTCGCTTGATTCCTTGTTTATTTGCGGGTGTGGGATGCGTTACTTCACAACTTCCCCTTGCTTCACGACAAGTTCCCCAGGCTTTGTTTCGAACCTTCTTCACAAGCGGAATTTGAACTTCATTTAACAAGCTATAAGCCTGGGGAACTTGTCACGGAGCAAGAATTTGTGACGTAATGAACCCCGCACCTGTAAATAAAAAAGGAATAAAACAAGCAAAGACTTCACCATCGTTCTTTGAATGCAGTTTTGAATTGTGCTATATAGGGTTTCTGTATGAAGCAGAATTGAGATGCTGCAGTGCTTTTTGCAAAAGTCAAAGTAAATTCTCCTTCTCTCCCAGAGCATGGAGAATGAAATAACTAGAATGGGGTATGAAAAAACTACCACAGGCAGGGCTGTGGGTGGAAAGACAGGGGGTGCTTGCTACTGCTGAGGTGGTGCATGGGTTTATGGCAAGGAAACATAGCTGGAAATTAGGTTGTCACTCATTCTGTAATGTAAAGCACTTAAAAACTGAACTGAGATTTTAGAAAACAACTGAGTCCTAAGTTGTTGAGAGAATTTTCCATTCTAGACACCCAGTTGCCTGAATGCACTTTTAGTTTACCACAAGCAAGTGACTAATTTGCAAGTGTGGTCCAAGGCCACTCTATCTTCACAACCCACTCATTTAATCGTCAAGAATATGGCTGCTCCAGAAATCCAATTTTCCAGGTCAACTTTAACTGCCTGCCTCTTTAATCAGACTTGATTTCACTAACATGCAGCTAAACTAGTGGTGCCATTCTTTTCTGGGTTCACAATGTTCATGCTTCTTGATGATTTCATGTGTGTGCATGCATGTAACATAAATGTACAAACATGTAATGTGACATGGCTTTGGTTCAGAGGAACACACTTTTGATAATCATAAAAGCAGCAACTGCCTACTAAATCTTGAACATTTTAAGAGCTAAAGATCCCAGAATATATGCCTAAACTTTTCTATGCATATACCATGGCTTTCACAATAATTTCTCCAACTACATGAGACACAGTTCTGGAAGGTCTTTTAGTTTTCAGCTGTGACTTATATATGTATGTATACATGCATGCAAGAGTCACAAAAGGCCAAGTATTTGTTTCTATTTATTATTTTATTGGGGTTGAAGATCAGCGCTTTAGTAATGTTGTCTCAGATGAGGAATTAGATAGACTGATTTGAAGTTACGGTCTGCCCTCTACTGCACCTTCCTTAGATTACAACTAGTGTGGCAAACTTACTGTAATTGACCAGTAAGCCTTTGTTACCCTTTATTCCCTGCTCCTAAAAATATCTCTTAGAATATCTATTGATCAAACAGCAAAGCAATTCCAATAAAAAGAAATTTTAGATCCTCATCCCACACATTTTCTAAGCATATTTTTAAAATGTTGGTTACTTTCATACCATTCACTGTAGCTAAGTTGCCTTAATTTTCTTTTACTTCCTATTCCATATAAAGGTAAAGGTACCCCTGCCCGTACGGGCCAGTCTTGACAGACTCTAGGGTTGTGCGCCCATCTCACTCAAGAGGCCGGGGGCCAGCACTGTCCAGAGACACTTCCGGGTCACGTGGCCAGCGTGACAAGCTGCATCTGGCGAGCCAGCGCAGCACACGGAAACGCCGTTTACCTTCCCGCCAGTAAGCGGTCCCTATTTATCTACTTGCACCCCCGGGGGTGCTTTCGAACTGCTAGTTTGGCAGGCGCTGGGACCGAGCAACAGGAGTGCACCCCGCCGCGGGGATTCGAACCGCCGACCTTTCGATCGGCAAGCCCTAGGCACTGAGGCTTTTACCCACAGCGCCACCCGCGTCCCATCCTATTCCCTATACAACCAAGCTAAATATAAAGTGCTCTCTTACTCACTTGCTGGAGCTGTCTGTTTCACAATGTGACACAAACACAAATTAGGCCTAAGAGCTAATGTACTGGCTAAATTTAAGAGCGGCTCTCCTTAGCTGAACGTATTTCAGCCATCTGCCAGAGATGCTGTAGTAGTTGCATCCTGCATTGCAGGTCCTGTACTGAGCATGAATTGAACTAGAATACGATTCATTCCAACTATGATTTTATTAGTGTTGTATGTGTATACAATAATTCCACTAGTGGTCAGGTATCAATTTATGCTAAATCAAAACTGAGTAAACTTTCATCTCAAGTAAGAGTTGGAACAGATTAATAACTTCTCTCAAAACTAACTTAATTTGTTCTGCAGATTTTTGAGTCATATTATGAATACAAGTTCCATAGGGAATTCAAGTTATCTATAAATATTGTGATTAAATCCTTAGTTTACTACTGAATTAGTAGCAACCACTTCTAGCACCCCTTCATGGATCACTGCCTTGCCGTGGCGAAGGGGCTTGAATAACTCAGAGAAGCTATGAGCTATGCCGTGCAGGGCCACCCAAGATGGACAGGTCATAGTGAAGAGTTTTGACCAAACGTGATCCACCTGGAGGAGGAACTGGCAAGCCACTCCAGTATCCCTGCCAAGAAAACTCCCTGGACAAAGACAACAGGCATATAAAAGTTATGATGCCGGAAGATGAGCCCCTCAGGTCGGAAGGTGTCCAACATGCTATTGAGGAAGAGCGGAGGACAAGTACAAGTAGATTCAGAGCTGATGAAGCGGCTGGGCCAAAGCCAAAAGGCCGCTCAGTTGTGGATATGGCTGGAAGTGAAAGGAAAGTCCAATGCTGTAAAGAAAATTATTGCATAGAAACCTGGAATGTAAGAACCATGAACCTTGGTAAGTTGGATGTGGTCAAAAATGAGATGGCAAGAATAAATATTGACATCCTGGGTATCAGTGAACTAAAATGGATGGGAATGGGTGAATTCAGTTCGGATGACCATCATATCTACTACTGTGGCCAAGAATCCCATAAAAGAAATGGAGTGGCCCTTATAGTCAATAAAAGAGTGGCGAAAGCTGTACTGGGATGCAATCTCAAAAATGATAGAATGATCTTGATATGAACCCAAGGCAGACCTTTTAACATCACAGTAACCCAAGTTTATGCACCAACTACTGGTGCTGAAGAAACTGAAATTGACCAATTCTACGAAGACTTACAACACCTTATAGAAATGACACCAAAGAAGGATGTTCTTCTCGTTATAGGGGATTGGAATGCTAAAGTAGGGAGTCAAGAGATAAAAGGAACAACTGGCAAGTTTTTACTTGGAGTTCAAAACGAAGCAGGGCAAAGGCTGATAGAGTTCTGCCAAGAGAACAAGCTGGTCATCACAAACACGCTTTTCCAACAACACAAGAGATGACTCTACACATGGATGGACATCACCAGATGGGCAGCATCGAAATCAGATTGATTATTCTCTACAGCCAAAGATGGAGAAGCTCTATACAGTCAGCAAAAACAAGACCTGGAGCTGACTGTGGCTCAGATCATCAGCTTCTTATAGCAAAATTCAAGCTTAAACTGAAAAAAGTAGGGAAAACCACTGGGCCAGTAAGATACAATCTAAATCAAATCCTTTAGGAATACACAATGGAAGTGAGCAACAGGTTTAAGGATTTAGATTTGGTGGACAGAGTGGCTGAAGAACTATGGATGGAGGCTTGTAACATTATACAGGAGGCAGCAACGAAAACCATCCCAATGAAAAGGAAATGCAAGAAAGCAAAGTGGCTGTCCAATGAGGCCTTACAAATAGCGAGGGAGAGAAGGCAAGCAAAATGCGAGGGAGATAGTGAAAGATACAGGAAATTGAATGCAGATTTCAAAAAAATAGCAAGAAGAGACAAGAAGGCCTTCTTAAACGAGCAATTCAAATAAATAGAGGAAAACAATACAATGGGAAAAACCAGAGATCTGTTCAAGAAAATTGGAGATATGAAAGGAACATTTTGTTCAAAGATTACCATAATAAAGGACAAAAGTGGTAAGGACCTAACAGAAGCAGAAGACATCAAGAAGAGGTGGCAAGAATACACAGATGAATTATGCCAGAAAGATATGGATGTCTCGTACACCCCAGGTAGTGTGGTTGCTGACCTCGAGCCAGACATCCTGGAGAGTGAAGTCAAACGGGCCTTAGAAAGCACTGCTAATAACAAGGCCAGTGGAAGTGATGGTATTCCAGCTGAACTATTGAAATTTTAAAAGATGATGCTGTTAAGGTGCTACACTCAATATGCCAGCAAATTTGGAAAACTCAGCAATGGCCAGAGGATTGGAGAAGATCAGTCTACATCCCAATTCCAAAGAAGGGAAGTGCCAAAGAATGCTCCAACTACCGCACAATTGCACTCATTTCACACGCTAGCAAGGCTATGCTTAAAATTCTACAAGGAAGGCTCAAGCAGTATGTGGACAGAGAACTCCCAGAAGTGCAAGCTGGATTTAGAAGAGGCAGAGGAACCAGAGACCAAATTGCAAACATGCGCAGGATTATGGAGAAAGCTAGAGAGTTCCAGAAAAACATCTACTTCTGCTTCATTGACTATGCAAAAGCCTTTGACTGTGTCGACCACAGCAAACTATGGCAAGTTCTTAAAGAAATGGGAGTGCCTGATCACCTCATCTGTCTCCTGAGAAATCTTTATGTGGGACAAGAAGCTACAGTTAGAATTGGATATGGAACAACTGATTGGTTCAAAATTGGGAAAGGAGTATGACAAGGCTGTATATTGTCTCCCTGCTTATTTAACTTATATGCAGAATTCATCATGCGAAAGGCTGGGCTGGATGTATCCCAAGCCAGAATTAAGATTGCCAGAAGAAATATCAACAACCTCAGATATGCAGATGACACAACCTTGATGGGAGAAAGTGAGGAGGAATTAAAGAACCTTTTAATGAGGGTGAAAGAGGAGAGCGCAAAATATGGTCTGAAGCTCAACATCAAAAAAACGAAGATCATGGCCACTGGTCCCATCACCTCCTGGCAAATAGAAGGGGAAGAAATGGAGGCAGTGAGAGATTTTACTTTCTTGGGTTCCATGATCACTGCAGATGGTGACAGCAGTCACGAAATTAAAAGACGCCTGCTTCTTGGGAGAAAAGCAATGACAAACCTAGACAGCACCTTAAAAAGCAGAGACATCACCTTGCCAACAAAGGTCCGTATAGTTAAAGCTATGGTTTTCCCAGTAGTGATGTATGGAAGTGAGAGCTGGACCATAAAGAAGGCTGATCGCCGAAGAATTGATGCTTTTGAATTATGGTGCTGGAGGAGACTCTTCAGAGTCCCAAGGACTGCAAGAAGATCAAACCTATCCATTCTTAAGGAAATCAGCCCTGAGTGCTCACTGGAAGGACAGATCGTGAAGCTGAGGCTCCAATACTTTGGCCACCTCATGAGAAGAGAAGACTCCCTGGAAAAGGCCCTGATGTTGGGAAAGATGGAGGGCACAAGGAGAAGGGGACAACAGAGGACGAGATGGTTGGACAGTGTTCTCGAAGCTACCAGCATGAGTTTGACCAAACTGTGGGAGGCAGCAGAAGACAGGAGTGCCTGACGTGCTCTGGTCCATGGGGCCAGACACGACTAAACAACAACAACAGCAACAACAACAACAACAACAACTTTCTAGAATAACATCTCAAAATATTTGGTCACTTCTTAGCCAAAAAAATTTCAGCCCCAATATCATATTGCTAGGTTATTCACACACAGAAAAAGGAATTGCTTACCTTTTCCCAATACTCTTAAAAACAGAAAGTCTATCACAGGGACAATGCCTTTATCCTTAAAAGTTTATCACTTGTTTGATTAGGCTCATGCTCAAGTCATTGTACGTCTGATGCTTCAAAGGCCAAAGCCGCTGGACCAGACCACTGATTCGGTGTAAGGATTCTTCAGCTTCCAGCTAGAGTAGAACCTACATAAAAGTGAGGACATATTTCAAAACCAATGAAGCAAGGATCAGTAGAACAAATTTTTCATCTGGCATATGATGGTACCATTACCTTTTACTAGAGATACCTAGTTAGGAAAAGCCTCCAGGCCAGAGCTATCCCACTTTGTTCCAGCTGATTATTTGACATAGTATAGCAACCAGCTAACCATTAAGGGACAAGATGGGATGGTGATCTACACAGATAGCTTACCCCATTGAAGGCATCCAATACCTAAACTGTAGAAAAAATGCTAACAGTATTTATTGAAGGCCAGGATGCACAGTATTTATAAAATTGATTTGGGAATAGGCTGGATATAGCTCAACCATACAAGGCTCCCTGGCCAACTAGATCTCAGCAGCAGTGTTGAAGCCTCCCAGACTCCCAGAATGAAGTTGGTGCTCAAGGCTGCCTTGAGATTTCACCTACTTCACTGAGCACAGATATAGAAATATTCAGCATTTGAGGTTTCAGATGGTCCATAATAATCCATAATACAGTACATGAATTCATGTCAGGTCTCTCACTTTCTAAAGAAAAAGGTATGCACAGGGACATGATAATGACCACTTGTAAACCTGGTTGGGAAGAGCTGGACTCTAGGAAAATTCCCCCCTCTTATTTCACTTACTTATTCTACACACCAGATAGACGAAGAGGTGTTTGGTGAATTGAGTACTACGCTGTTTTACTGACAAATAATTGTTTTGATTGACAGTCACAAGTCCACTTCTGCAGCTGTGTTACTTTTGTTACTTCTACACACTCAAGGTCAATCTTCGGGTGATATCAGATGGCAGAGCCACAGACTGACAAGTACTGTATACTAGGCTAATAAGGCCTAATTATTTTCCAGTCTACATAAAACCCTCTGAAGAGCTACTACAAGCATTTTAAACAATTCACTAGAAATGCAGCACTCATTTTTGAAGTGATCACAACAGTATGCAAAAGAAAACAAACTGCTAGATGACATATATAGCAGAGCTATGAGAGCTAGGGGGGTGGATGGGATTCCATTATTCTGAGTCTATGAACATTTGTTTGGAAGCCTGTCATTTAGTGCCATTTGCTTCCTAGAGTGTCTGACATTATCTCCTTGGTCTTCTTCAGGCCTTTTTGTTGTTGTTTTGTTTAACATACAGCTTGAAAAAAGAGTCCTGATAAATTCAAAAGCTCCTTTGCTTCACAATGACTTTTTTTTTTTTATCACTGAAGAGGCATACCACAAACACTTTCATAGGCTGCATAATGTGGTGTGTTCAGTGGCCTGGAGCTTCTGACTCCATTTGTGCAGCCATCATGACCACCGGCCTTTAAAAACAACAACAAAACACCAAACCCACCCCGCAAATTGGTCGCAAAACATTTCTTTCAGGTAATTTCAGCTGGGGGTCCCCGCCACACCTTTCTGGCGCCAAAGTCTACATTTTAACTATGCGCTCGGTGAGGAAGTGAGGAAGCCCTTTCTTGCGCCCTGCCTGAACCTCTCAACCCCCGGCTTCATTTAATGAACCTGGGTCCCTGTATTATGAGGGGAAGCATAGGAACCAACTCCTAGGGGCCGAAATCCCTACGGCACCCCCCTCCATTAAAATGTTTGAGGGGACCGCCCCACAAAGTTGATGGGGCATTGCCGTTCAAAGTGTGAGCGTGCACCACGTTTTGTGATCGATTATACAGGGCGGGGCTTACCTACTCCCCCCCCCCCCGCCGCAGTACAGTGGTACCTCGGGTTACATGCGCTTCAGGTTTCGCACTATACTAACCCAGAAATAGTGCTTCAGCTTAAGAACTTTGCTTCAGGATAAGAACAGAAATCGGGCTCCGGCGGCGCAGGAGGCCCCATTAGCTAAAGTGGTGCTTCAGGTTAAGAACAGTTTCAGGAACGAATTAAGTACTTAACCCGAGGTATCACGGTATTTTATTCAAGTTGGCACCCCTGAGGGGAAGGAAAAACCTGTCCCTTCCTTACTTTCTCTTCGCCCTGCGTGGTTTTATACACTCCTTACCGCCCGCCGGCCATCCAAACGCGGCGACCTTTCACCCACAGTCTTAAGGGCTGCGGTCGTTGCCCGACCATTGAGCGAAGCCACTGAGGTATTAGCCATTGCCTCGGTCGATACCGAGCGGGATTTAGCGTTGCACCTGGTGGGTGTGGCGACCTGGGAGACGCAGCTTTCTCTCAGCTAGCCGAACAACGCCGGCCGCCCCGATCCCTGCAGCTTTTCCCTTCATGGAGGGAGAGCGTGAGGAGGGGAGTTTCCTCCTCTGGAAAAACCAGCGCAGGACTTTCGAAGAAATAAGAGGAACGAGGAGCCCGCGCACCAAACTGGGCCCACAAGACGCCACAAAACGCGGGAAGAAGAGAAAAAAGAAGCTGCAGCAACTCCTCTACCTCATACGCCCCCCCCCGGGATAATACTAATAAAAATAATTCGCTACCTTTCGAAGAGAGCAACATCCCACCACAGGCGCGAAGCAGCGGGCGGTCGCTCTAGGCTCACTTCTCTCCTCCCCTCCACTGACCCCCATACGAGCAACGTGCCATTTGCAGTCCCAGCTGCTCCGCGAGGGGAGCGCGCTGCTGCGCATGCTCCTCGCGGGGTACCTCTGGGGCTTGTAGTCCTTCCCGGCCAGCCGCATTTCTTGCCGCGTCTTGGTGGAAAGGGAAAGGGAGGCACGCTTGGCACGTACGCCCAAGTAGGCGCGCCCGCCCACTTCTTTCGGAGGAGGAGGAGGAAGGCGCGCGTGGGTGACCCGGATGCAAAACTGCGCCTCGTTTCCTGAGAGCGGGACGGTAGAAAAACTCAACTTTGGCGGGTGAGGAAGGTGGCTGCGCAGCGGGGCCGCTCGCGGGGTCTGAGGTTCGGGGCGGAGAGGCGGCGGCGGCGGCGGCGTCCTCGTGGCCGGGCCGAGTTAGGCGCGCTGTGCCGGGCGTAAGTTTGGGCCTACGCCGTCGCCGCCTCCTCGCACCGTTTCGTTTTTCTGAGGCCTTAAAGGAGAAACGGTCGGTGGTGGGGGAGGGGAAGAGTTGTGGCTATTTGAATAATAATAACGGGCCTCTCTCTCGCCTCTCCCTTCGTCCTGGTGTGTGAGAGGCCTCTGGAACCGGGGGCGGGAGGTTTCCACGCCATGGGACCCGCGAAGCCTGTAGCTGCTGGGCCCGATAGCCCTGCGTTGCGGGGCCCGTAGTTTTTGCTGGCGCTCACAATGCGCTCCGGAGCTGCGGTTTCAAACCCTCGGTTCAGAGCGAAGTGAAGGGCTGCTTACTTCTGCTTTGGCCTGGTTCCCAGGAAACTTAGGCAGTCTTCAGTCTGAACATGATTTTTGCTGGGAGTCATCTCCTTGAGCACAGCGGGCCGGCCCCTCCCTTTCTCGAGTAGGCGTGCATGGCATTGTTTGGGGGGGGGTGGAGGTGGTCGTTCCCTTTAATGGCAAACTCAACTGAGGGGCGCTCGCGGGATTGTAGACAAAACGGACCACCGAAACAAAAAGAGATGAGCAGCCTCAGAGAAAACCCAAGTTTGCAGGCATACAAAAATTAATAAATAGAGGAGTTTGTATGGAAGTTATGGTCAACCTCACGGCCCCCTCCCCCAGCTGCCCAGTGGTCACATGATACTAGGTGGGGGGACACAGTAATGGAATAGACCATTTTGGAAGATAGCATAATACACAAGACAGCATAATAATCCATATTGCTAAACAGCTTGTTTGTCTTTAGGAGAATAGCAAAGGGCTTTGTGGGAAGAAGTTTGGATTGCTGAGATAGATGCTTTAAGTAGATATTTCCATGAACTATTTGTTTTCTCATGGAAAAGGTAAATGCCACCTTGAGTCTCCTTTAAACAAAGAGGCTCAATATACTAATGATTTTTCTTTTTTTAAAAAAAGATTTAAACATCTTGGGATTCAAAATCAAGTTAGGCTGAATATGAGCACATTTTAGCATACCGATTTTAAACATAACAAGAACTTCATTTAGCATGCAGTGTAAAACCATGACAACATCCGGTTTATCATGTTAATACAGTATCAATTATAACTGAGATTGGGGGTCTGAAGACTTGTCTTACAACAGAAAAAATATAACTTTCTGTTTGCAGATATTTATAAGACAATAATATTTGTTGGAAGCATGGCTGAGTTACTAGACAGCGGAAAGAAAAAAAGAAAGAAATTTGAAGAAGCTGATAGTGCAACTGCTAAAGACTCACAGGCTGATTCCTCTATCATAGCAAATGATGGTAAAACTTCTAGTACATGTGATGAAGATAAGGGAGATGGGAGTGATCTTGATGACAAAAGACTGAAAAAGATGAAATTTGAATCTGAATCTGAAGAGGTTCCTGCAGATAAAATGGTGAGTGTTTCAAACAACAATTTTGAAGCCTTTTTCTCTTTTAAGCATTTGTGCACTGTAGGCAGAAAATGTCTGTTTAGTTGTAACACACATTGATCAAGGTCATCAACTTTATATACTGATTGAGCTAAGGAATTTTTCTTCCATACCAACATGACTATCTTTCCACAGGCTAGTGTTACTGACACAGCCAGTTTGGGGGTTCCAGAAGCTGGAAAGAACTTGCTTGAAGAAGCAAAGAGAGATGCTTCCCCAGACCTAGAGATAAAGCCTGCTGTCACGGTGGAAGAAAATAAAGCAACAATAAATAAAGAACATTGTGACACAACTGAAAAGGGAGATGCCAGTGCTGTGGACAGCAGGAGAGCAAGAAAAAGAAGAGGGGATTCTGATCTTGACCAAAGCCCAACAAAGAAAAGAGTAAGTTTTTCCATAGCAGTTCAGTCTTTATTCTTGAACTGTAGCAGCACTAAGAGGGGAAAAAAATAGCTAGTCTTTATTTCCTTAATCGAGGGATGTGTTTCCTTATTCCTCTGGATGTTTTTGGACTACAGTTTCCATAGTCCCTTATTGGCTATGCTTGGGGCTGAAGGGAGTTGGAGTCCAACAACATCTAATGGGTCACAGGTTTCCTACAGACTTCATCTTTGTTTGCATTCATGTGTCATGACAAAACATAGTCAAATGGCTCCTGCTTGGCTCTTCCTGGTACAAGAAACAAATTGTGACTCCCGACTTAGCATTACATCTGAGCTGACTATCTTATTCTTGCTTTATGGATTGCATGTGAAGCTAAGGTTTGATAGGTTGTAATGCTAAACAAGAGTTCATAATTCTTTGATCACACGGATGGAGAGTAAAGCAGGAGCAATCTTTATGTTCACAATAAATGATTAAATTTGTCTTAATGGCATGCAGACTGAACATATGGATGATCTCCTGTTAAGACTGCTTGCTTGCATGATTGGACTTGCAGTTTCTCTTCTTGGTTCTCCAGCTGGGTATCTACAAGTTCTAAAACAGATTTTGGGAAGGTTCCTCCAACCCTCGGGAGCAGATTTTGGGAGCGCACCCAGCAGGAAGTGGGTGAAAGGAAAAGTTGCACTGCATAGGTCAACTCCTGCTTGTGCTACATTGGATCTCGCCCTATGTGGTGTTTAATCTTAGGAATTTTGTACGAAACAGTACTTTTATATGTTTATTCCTAAAAAAAAAACCCTTCTGGGTGGGGTAGGAAGCTGGAAAAAGCTGGACAGAGTTCAAGGTAATCTAATTAGTTGCATGAGACATGCTATTATTTTTATAGTGCTATTAACTTTCCAAGGTTATTTAAGTTACAGTATTTCTAAGGTTTTTTAAGTACAATAATTTGTTGATCATCTAGTAACGTTCTTATTTACCAAGTGATTTCATTTTAGATTTCTACATCAAAACCAGATACTCTACCTACAAATCAGTGGTGGTGGTGTTTTATGTTAAGTTTGTGTAAAGCTTTTTTTTTTTTTTGGTACTGTTCATAGTGCATAATGTGCTGTTCATAGCACATAATGCTACCACGATTAGGGAAGGAATAGGAGTAGGAAGTTAGAAATGTAGGTTGTGAAGATGGTAGAGTCATCAGATTTTGGATCCAGAGCTGCTGTGTGCTTTAAGTAGCAAATGAATGCATATAAAGCCTCATATTTTTCACTTTATCTTTTATTTGATGTTCTTGTGCAGCATACTGAAACTGTAGCAGCACATTATAATAAGCTTGAAGAAGTTGGATTGGAACAGCGTAGTATGAGTCGCATTTTCTATCTTCGGAATTTTAACAACTGGATAAAGAGTGTTCTCATTGGTATGGCTATATATTTTGAAATATATATACTTCTAGTGTATTCATATTTTCAGATGCTATTGTTGGGATCAGATCTTGCACTTGATTTTTGAATCCCAAATATGAAACCTAATATCTAAAGCAAAAGAACCACTATAATGTTTACATGTTTACTCTGTACAGTGCTCCTTAATGTAATACTAATTTATTGTTTGAGTGATTTGAGTGAATTCTATGATTGAGTGTTGGACTAGGGCCTGGAGTTTACTGGATGATATTCAGCTAGCCACTTTCTCTAAGCTTAAGCTGCCTCACAGTGTTTTTAGGATAAAATGAGGAAGCGAACCATGGCTGTCACCTTGAGACAGCATATGAATGTAGTAATAAATAAAATAATTACATTATATTTAGATATGTATTTCCTACATCTATCGGGGTCTCTGGCTCTCAGTTTTAAGTGCTATGAACTTGTAATTGCAAAATTATTGTGAGCTAAACTACAATATTTTTTCTTTAAGAGATAACAAAAAATAGATGCCAAACCTATACATTTACCTGGGAATAATTTCCAGTGAATTCAGCAGAACTGATTTCTGAATAGGCATGCATAGGATAGTATTGTAAATGCTTTTTCCATGCTTACATTTTAAATTTATCTCAAACAAATGAATTTTCTTTCCTTTTAGTGGAGTGCAACTTTTTGTTTAAGTTACTCATGAGATAATAAAACTCCCAGAATTACAAAAGGAAATGCACAATAGATGTATTTTTTTAATTTATGCTAAAGATTTTATGTGTCTTTTCTTTCCTAGGTGAATTCCTTGAGAGGGTGCGGCAGAGAAAGCAAAGCATTGCAGTTTTAGACTTGGGATGTGGCAAAGGTGGGGACTTGCTAAAATGGAGAAAAGGCAGAATTAGTAGGCTTGTATGTACAGGTAAGAAGGCAAATTTGATATGAACAATGTACCTTGGGTTTATTATTCATAAAACTCAATTTTTTAGCAACTAAAAATTCACATTGGAAGTCAAGTTTCTTCTGGTATATGGGTACCTCCATAGAAGAGTCCTGCTGCTTGCCTGAACCTACCAGCCTTGCCATGGTAAGGAGACATGGAACAGAGACTTCGTGGATTATCTTAGGGTTTGGCAGTTTCATTTTGTTCTGTATCTTCGGAGGAACTTGATTTAAACACTGAATCACTTAATATTTGGAAATGCATAAACTGTTACTTCAGTTCCAACTATTTAGCAAAACTGGTCTGCAATGCCATCAGCCAGTCTTTGCCAACCTGTTGCCCTACAAATATTATATATGCATTTTCAATTAGGCCTAACCAGCAGAGGATGATGGAAATTGTAGTTCAATAGCAAATGGAAGGGCC